AGGGCGCCAAAGCTTCCTTCTTTGGTAGCAGCAAGAAGCCTTTGGGCAAGGCGCGTGAGGGTAGACGAGCAGGCGAGGCTTGTACATGGTGTCGCTACAGGCGTCAGAAGGTATGTCGTAATCCAGCCTTTTACACCTGCGCTAATCCTGGAATGTAGTGCGACGAGCGAGACAACTGCAGCTTGTGTCAGAAAGACAAGAAAGGCTGTGTTTACCTCAGCAAGCTCCCCCGCCACCTGCGCGATGCGCTTACCAAACCCATCTCTCTCGACGACTGGAACGACATGAAGGACGATATTGAATTTATTGGCGCCGGCGCCGATACTCTTCCCACCCCTCCTCCTTCTCCTGCTGTCTCGCAGAAGAAGAAGTTTGTGAATGAGATGAAGAGCGAGGGCACGGCTCCTGTGCCATCGTACGGGAGGCTGTCTATGGATGAGGATGAGGATGATGCCATGAGTGGCGGTGAGAGCGACAGCGAGAGCCCTTCCCCCGCGACTTTTGATACGTCTTACCCAACTCCCTCGCCCAACCGTGCCACTCACCTCGCCCTCTCCCCTCGGTCTCACCCGTTTTCTCTTCTCGCTGAACAGTCCCAGCGCACTGATTTTCTTGGTACCATCGACCCGCAAAGGATCCACGACCCCTTTCCTATCCACCCGGGCGGCCTCGCGCACAATGCCCTCGACATTTCTTCTTGTGCTTCTGGCTCCTCCTCTGAGGGGGCGCATGTGACGTTGGGCGATGTGGAGCTGGACAGCTTTGAATGGTGTGCAGAGGAGTTTAGGGTGGGAGGAGAGGAGGGCGAGTTGGTGCAGACGCATGTGGACGAGTTTACGGAGGCGGCAAAGAAGAGTTGGAGCACGATGAACGAATTCACCCCTTATCAGACTCTCGTCTAAGACTCGACCCCTCATCGACCCTTTTGTGTATAAGTATCCGACTATTAATAAGGCAAGAAAAGACGGCAAAAGATGGGAAAACGCGCGACAAGTATAATACGACACCGAAATGGTCATAATGAGATTGGAAAAGACGACCACATTGGAAAGTTTGGATGTAGAAACAGCGATAATCGAAAAGCCGAATGTAAAACAGCATTGAATGAGTGGTCGGATGCAGTAGACAGGAATACATGATTTACACCATCTCGTCTCCTGCCCATCTCACATCCGCCTCTGCCTCCAACCAGTCCATCCACTTTCTCAAGTACTTGCTCCCCCTCGCCACAGTCTTGGAGTCTCCAATAACGCACTACCTCATCGTTAGCCATCGTACCTTGAAAGTTGGGGAAGGAGACGTACAAGCTGCCGTTTTGCTCGCGTCATTGCCACATTCAACCGCCTATACTCGCCCAAGAAGCCGACCTCGCCTGCGACGTTGGATCGCACCAGCGAGAGGATGATCGCCTACCGTAGGTCAGCGCGCACTCCGCATAGTCTATGGCGTACTCACCTCTCGTTCTTGTCCCTGCAAGCCATCGACACTTCCGATCGTCATCTCTGGGAACTCTTCATGTAGCATCGACGAGATCAGAGCCACCTGCGCTTGGTACGGCGTCACAATACCAATCTCCGCCGGCGGTATCCCGTACGAAATCTAGTCCTTCCATCAGCCTCACGCCAGATGGGCAGGCAGGAAAGAGGATGGACGACTTACAAGCTTTCGAGCCCACTTGGCCGCAATCTCGGCTTCATTCGCGTTACTCTTACTCCCCTCCCCAATCGCCGCTTTCACACTCTTATCCTCGTCCCCCTCCGTCCTCTCATAAAACTCGCATTCGGCCGTATCAAAGAATACCACCGTCGGCTCGAGATCATCCTTCACCTCTTCCTCCTCCCCTTCCACACCGGGGAGTTGCGCCAACGTCCTCTCAGCGACAGAAGCATCGGAAACGAGGGCAGACTCGTACAGAGTTTCGGAAGGGAAGGAAGCAATGTGCTCGTTCATTCGGTATTGCACTTGCAAGACGCGTTTGATGCCGGCGCCATAGAGTTTTTCGAGTCGTTCGAACAGGGTCGTTTCGAGTGTCTTTGGAGGTTGAAGGGAGGGCCCAAGGGACATTGATTGGATGGCTTGCTCTACGTTTTTCACGGCGGGCACAGAGTCTTTGGACATGATTGTCGGTGGGAGCTACACCTCATCAGTCAAAGTCTCTTTCTCTTTGAGAGTGGGACTTACCTGCTGCGGATCACCAGCAAGGATCAATTTGCTCGCCTTCAAAATCGGTACCCAGCATACTGGCTCAACAGCTTGCGTCGCTTCATCAATGATGCAAATGTCGAAAATCATATTGTTCAGCTGCCTTGCGCCGGCGGAGTGACATGTAGCAAGTACGACTTGGGCGCCGTTGATGACTGTACTAACAACTTTGCCCTCCCTTGCGCGGTATCTACGAACCATCAGCTCGATGATACCCTCAAGAGGGATAAGGGCTCACTCTTTACGCAACTCTCTAACTTCCTCCCACTTCTTACCCCTCTCCTTACCCTTCACCGCCCCTTTCTCTCCCCTCTTCTTTCCCAAATCGCCAAGATGCGTCTGCATCTCCTTCCCAACATCCCTCAACAACTCCCCTTGTTCCCCATTAGCAGCCCGCCAATCCAACGTCTCTCTCACTAAATCTTTGTGCACCCTCGTCGGGTGGCCTATTCGGAGTATAGAGCCCGGCGGAGCGAGGGACGAGTATGGCGAGAGGGAAGACAGGGCGTGGAGCCGGGTAAGGAGGTTATCGAGTGCCAGGTTGGAGGGGGTGCAGATGAGGATTCGGGGGGGTTGGGAGGTGCTTGCAGAGTTGGAGGCTGACGGGGCGGGGCGGGCGAGAAGCTGGTATACGAGCTCGACGAGGGTGTGCGTTTTACCAGTCTTCCACATTTGTCAGATAATGAATATGGATCTGAAAACAGACTTACGCCTGGCGGACCGTGGATGCAAGCGATATCGTGGGCCTTGAGACAGAACCGAATAGCTTCTTTCTGGCTATCATTCAAGTTCTCGCCGAACCATTTTATATCATTGATTTTTTCCCCGCCGTCGGCCTCGAGGGATGCTCTTGTAGGGGGGACTTCTTCAGACCATGTGGGGAGCTGCATACCGAGGAGTGAACGGATCAGGGGAAAGTTGAAGGCGCGTGGAGGCGGGGCGTCTGGTTCGGGAAGCACAAGTCGAGCAAGGTGGTCGAGGGTACGGTCCATACGATCAAACGTCACAGAATTCGCCAGCTTGAGTCTTCCATGTCTTCAGCCCATACCCATCAATCAGCTAGTGAGGACTTACAATCGTAGACGCTCAGGCAAGTCGATCTCCTTCGTCTCGCTCACAGCGACGACCACCTTTTCCGGGCCGACTCTGTAGACGACACCTTCCACAGCACCTTCATCGTCGCTATCCTTCTTTTTGCCCTTGCTTTTGGAGGTGGAAGAGCTGACGTGAGCTTCTATACGGACGGGATCACCGCTCCGAAAGGTGTGCGGTGGAAGGGCTTGCGAGGTGTGGTATGCTAGTGGACGGTGCAGCTCTACCAGGCTGAATAGTTGTCAGCTTTGAGATATAAATGCACAGATAGACATACCTTTTCCCGCCCAAGCCAATGCTAATGCTAGAAACACCGAGACTGTTGATAGCCAGCCCCCGCTGCTCGAGTAGTTTTGGGGAGCATTTTGAATTGAGGAGGCGTGTCTGCTCCTCCTCTGCGCTGCGTTCGAGGGCGAGGAGCTGCCTGTGGCGGTCGACGAAAGCTGCCACCTGGGCGTGGGCTGACTGTGGCGGGGCGAGGATCCGTGCGGGCATGTCCCTCTGTCTGCTTGTTTGGTTCACTGCCACAGCTTGCAAAAGGACGCGCAGGTGTATCGGCCGTCGGTGATCGCCGCCATCTCGGATGCCGGGCATTGGACGGATGATGTCATGGCTAGCTGCAAGTTCCTGTTCTATTTTTTTGCATGATTGGGCTGCAGATGTGGATGTCTGTGCGTGATTAATTTTATTGTTGATGCAGCAATGAGGTCTCCCCTTAAAATCTCCAGGTATCTGCTGCGAGCGAGGGAAGAACAGGCGCGATGTAGCGACAAGACAAGGAGATGCCACATCGCCGGGCTTCCGACGACGCGTTCATCATGATTCATGAGCGCAGCAAGCGCAAGATCTACCAAGACATCACGGCAAGAGAGTCAAGACACCGCATGACGCTACAAGACAGAGCATGGCAGTGGCAGCTGGCCGGCCTGGCAGGAGAAGAAGGGGGTGCAGGGATCGACACTTTACCCTCCGGGCCGAGTGGATTGCTGCCGAGCCTGGCCGTAGCTCATGAAGATCATCTTGATTAAGACTCGCCCTGCACCCCCCGAACTGGTCAAAGACCGGCGCCGTATATGCTCATGGTACAGATCAACAGATGATAAAATTGAAGCCAAGGTGCCCTGACTGTGCATGATAGCATGCTGTCGTTGGTTGATCGGACCAGTGTCACTGGATGGCCGGTGATGGCTTGATCTTGATGAGACGGGGAGAACAAACGTTCCATGTTCCATGATTTCCACACTGTCTTGCTCTCGTGACAACGTTCTTTTATGATGACCTGATCACGCCTTGCTTGCCCTTGTGCACGAGATGGGAGCGTTGCAGCTTGCCATATGACAGGCGATGTTCCATGATGTCAGATCACGATGCTCTTCTTGACATTCTTCCCATGGCTTCCCATCTGCACGCGCTGCACGCTGTATTTTAAACCGAACACGGCCCCGGAGCATCCTACCCTGTCTGCCCTGCACGAGCCGCACGAAAATACATCCATCACTCGAAAGCCGAAAGAAAGATAGGGTCAATCGTGCACACCCAAACATTCGCGCGGCCTAAAATGCCGAGATTTTTTACGGGTCCACAGGCACTATGCACTATCTGTCGAAATGAGGGGGATACGTCACGCCATTGCTTCCGTCCGTAGTCATGAGGCGATCCAGCTGAAGGGTATATATACCCAGCTGCATCTCTCTTCTCTTTCCCATCTTCTCTTTCATACACCAACACCACACCACAAACTAAACTACAGCACATTCACAATGGGTGTACGTCCCTGACTCCTCTCTGTCATTCAACAATGCTGACCTGTCCCTTGTCTAGCTCCTCGACAGCTTCTCTGGTAACGACAACAACGTGCGTCCCATCCTAGCCTCACACGTGTTTCATATGCTGACTCTCTCCTAGTCTTCCTCCAACAACCAGTCTGGAGGCGGCGGTTACGGCCAGTCCGGCCACAACTCCAACTCCTCTTCCAACCAGCACGGAGGCAACAACTCTTCCTCTAACCAGCACGGTTCCAGCGGTGGCTTCGGCTCCTCCGGTAACTCTGGCAGCGACAGCTACGGCTCCTCCAACAAGGGCGGTAACGACAGCTACGGTTCTTCCAACAACTCCAGCAGCGGTGGTGGCTACGGGTATGTCCCCTTCTCCCACGTGCACGTCATCACCTCTGGGCACGTATACTGACATACAATGTAGAGGTTCCAACGACAACAACAGCTCCTCGTACGGCTCTTCCGGTAACCAATCTCAGTGCGTTCTCATCCCTTTTTCTCATACTTGTCATCGCTGACCTGGCTTTCTTAGCGGTTCTTCCGGCGGCCGAGGCGGATCCGACTCTTACGGTTCTTCCAACCAGTCGTCTGGCTTCGGTGGAAGCAACAACTCTTCGTCCCACTCTTCCGGTGGCCAGGGCGGCTAGTACGTTCTTCATGTTCCGGTCGTGGGATAGACGCTGACTTTGGTGTAGCGGTGGATCTTCCGGAAACGACTCCTACTCTAGCGGTGGACAGTCTGGCGGCTACGGTGGTAACCAGTCTTCCGGTGGTGGCTTCGGAGGTAACTCCAACTCTTCCTCTGGTGGTGGCGGCTTCGGTGGACAGTCTGGCGGTGGACAGGGCGGCTACGGCGGTGGCAACTCTGGCGGTGGCCAGGGCGGTTTCGGCGGTGGTAACTCTGGCTACTAGAGTTGGGGGATGTTATCTTTTCGCTTGATCCGTAACTGAAATAGTCGAGAAAGAAGGGAAGAAATGGAAAGAAGGAATACCAATGAATGAATTACGTCTAAATCCATCGCATACGACGCACTGACATCTTGTGAGACGTTCTCGGGACAAAAACAGGTTTCAATGTTGAGTCACTGCTCGGCTAGCCGAAGGCTGCGCTCGTCTTGCCCTTCAGCATCCGCAGTGTCCGTCGGAAGAAGGCCTGCATTGCTAACCGCTATTCTCACTCCTTCCTTAAGGTCTGCATGCTGTAATAGGGGTGTCCAGGAGATCATACATCGACCGGGAGCGAGGTTGTTGAGAAGAATCACTTGCCCCTTCCCTCTTCTCTTCCATGGCCCCCTGCGTGTCTCGTCTCAGACCGATGCCCGATATACTGTTGCTGTCGGGAGGCCGATATCGATTCCGTTGGCCCGTTTCAAATACTTCCCCTTTGAATGGGACAAAGCCACCGTCCACCGACACAAACACACAACCCACACACACTCAATTGCAATCGAACGGACACACGTCACCCGGTCCCTGTCGATCGGTCTCCTCCTTTGGCGCCCTACAAACTGTGGTCGGTTTGACACACATTGACAGCTGCTTCCGTAGCAGAGCAACGCAATCAGATGGACATTGATGGGCGCTCATCAGCTCTTACACGTCCTTCCAATTTCTTCTCCATCCCTGAATAGCTCTTCTCTCGTTTTGAGCTGTCTCTTTGTTTACCTCATCCGACCCTGGAGGGTTGCTGTGGACACCAGGGCCGGGAGTGAGTACACATACAAACTTTGTGTTTATGCTCAATGCGCAATGCACTGTGGTGCACCGCCCGAGGGCCCGAGGTAGATGTCGGCGTTGGCTGCAAATTTCAGAATTCAGGTAACGTTTGTGATTTCAAGCATCGTCTCGAGCCCAGAAAAGGCATATAAAGAGCTGACTCTACCCACTTTCTTTCTCACCAACCACACTCGCTTGTGTATCAACTCTCATATCTTACACTCTCTCCTACAAAGACCTTATAACGATGTTTACATCTCCCCTCATCGCCCTCCTTACCGCGCTGCCGGCAGTACTCTCTTGTGCTGTCCCTCGCTCCCCCGACCTCTCCTCTATCTCCTCCATACAACCCCGTCCTTCCCCGACCTTCCCAAAAGCCTTCCTCAGGGATGCAGCGTCTCAAACATCACCGTGGCCCTCGGGAACTCCTCCTTTTCTCTAGTCGACGGCCAGCTGAGCTCAACTATCGCCGTGGGCAGGGGTATTCAGAACTATACTTGTACTTCCGGGGCTTACGTGTCTACTGGCGCTCTTGCCAAGTACGTCCCTTGCCCTATTCTCTTCATTGTTTGGTTCCGCGCTGACCCGTGTGGCAGTTTGTTTGATGTGACCTGCCTCTACTCTATGACCGCTGGCAAAGTGGATACCAACGAGCTCAGCACGGTGCTCCCCAAGATGGCATTCTCTGCCCTCCAATACCCTGACACTCTAAACTTGCCTGTGGCTATCCACCACCTCTTTGTGTACGTTTGATCCCATCTCTTGATTTACCTGTGTTGACTTTTCACAGCGATACACCCGGATCCAACACTACAGGGGCCATCTCTCCCCTTTTCGTCGGCTCTACCGACCAAGTCCTCGTCTCCAAAACCGCCACCTCCAATGACCTTACAGACCCGTCCGTCAACGTCCCCTGGCTCCAGCTTACTGCAGTCGAGGGACAGGGCACCTTGGCCAAAAGCGTGTACAGGCTGGACACTGTGAACGGGCAGGCTCCTTCTACCGTAAGTTTCTAGCTTTTTGTGGGAGGCGTGGACTGATTTTGTGGCAGTGCGATACCGAAGGTGAAGATTTGAGCGTGCAGTATGCTGCTTTGTATTGGTTCACCAACTAGATTATATGGCGTCTATAATCGTTTCCTTGCTGCTTGTTTGTCTTGTTTGTCTCGAGTCGTCGTCTGCCGATGCATGCTTTGATTTGCTCACTCCAAGTATACCTTCTCACTGTTCTCAGGCAGCACGGTGGGGTGCGTCACTGCAATATGATGGTGTTATTCATTCAATAAGAAAGCTATCGCGTGTGCGTGTTGGTCTATACATACAATGACATAAATGCAAAAGATCAAGAAAACGATGACTGAGGCAACTTCATATCCCTCCATTATCCAGCATATCCCACCCCTCACTCAGCACCTCCCCCTCATTCCCTCTCCTGCCACCCCACTTGCCCTCCTCCGCCTTCAACACCGTCCCCACAACTTTCGCCACATCCAGCCCAAACCCCAAGTGGCCCAGCTGCCGCGTCCCACCCGGCGCGTGGGACTTGTGCCCAAGCGTAGGGGAGAGGGCGGTAGCGTGGATGAGGTGGAGGATGGAGGTGGCGGATATGAGGACTGCGCTTCTGTCTGGGGCGGCGCAGGATTGGGGACGGGAACGGGTCTCGTCGTCCGACTCGGTAGGCGACAATTCATCTGCGTCTTTGATCCCAACTCCCGGGACATCCTGAGACCAAGCCAGGTATGCTACCGAGAATGCCAACAGCGCAAAAGAAGTCAAGAACTGCTTTTGCTTGCTGCTAGACTTTGCGATAATGCCCGCGATCGTTGGGTTTGATAGCAGCTTGGCGGAAGATGGTGGCTCGCCTCGGGTTTTGAGCTTGCTCGCTATAGAAGCCGTACTGGACATCCACAAGACATGCTTATCGCGCCATTTCGTGGTAGATACGAAGGGAAGGTTGGGTTTGATCAGTGGCCGGCCGATATGGGGTTTCTCCAACGGTGGTGGTGACAAGGGGAGGTAAGGCAGATCGATGGCGAGATAGGATGTAACGAGGGACAACAGGTGAATTGTGTGGAGGAGGGCCGCATTTATATTGTACGATGAATGTACTGCAGTACTGTTAGCAAGTACCCGAATGGACTGATAACGACATACACCGAAATTGCTCAGGCTCAGGCAAGACCAATCCCGCTATCTCCCATTCTCCAGATGGTCGCTTGCGAAGGCCGAACACGGCCACAGCTTCTCGTACGAGTACCTGCCGAGCATGTATAATGCGCAGGGTCGCGTCTTGCCGACCCAGCCGAGCTCTATTGATGGATTGCTGTAGATACGTAGCCGGAGATGACGAAGCCTTGACTTTGGACAAGGTCTCGCGGCGCTGGTGAACGGCGCTCTGAGCCGCACGATTACGAGCTTCGACTGCGTCAGCTCCATTCGACTTTACATAGAACGACACTTACCATCTTCAGTGGCTATTTCCTTCTCGGCAATCTTGCTCCTCAGCCCGGCACATCTCCTCTCCCTATCCGCCACTTCCGCCTTCAATTCTCTCCAAGCGCCGACTCCTCGACTCTTCTCGCGAGACGGTCCTGCTGCATACGACCCACTCTCTAGCAGCCTAGCAGACTGGCTGACTATAGAATCAATCCTGGTTTGGAGATTACTCAAAAGCTCATTGTGCAGAGCAATACTACGCTTCGTCAGCGCGGACAGCAGTACAGTTGCAGGGGACAGACCCTTCGCGGAGGCAGGAGGCGCAGTATAGCGGGTGCTGGTCAAGCTGGCAGCATGGGCAGCGGAGCGAAGGGGATTCCATCGCTCATATCGGCTCGGTGGGCGGTTGTGGATATGGAAGAGGATAAAGATGGAACCAAAGAACGCAGAAAGGAACTGAAGAACGAACGTCACCCTTTGTATCCGTCGGCCCGGGCGGAATCAAATCCATGCGCACTCAAGCTCGAACCAATCTCGAACTCATTCATCTTCAATTCATCTTGGAATTGACTCTTCGTTGCCACTCTCTCTATTCATCTCTTGTCTCACATACCAAGCCATACGTCGACATGTCCGCCCCATCCGCCTCATCATCTGCTGCGATCCCCCCCGCCGCCGCCGATGACGAACGCTTGCTCATTTCCGACCAGAAAGACGCCTCTTCCATCTGGGCCATCAAAGTCCCAAACTTTCTCCTCAGGCGCTGGGAAGAAGTTCAAGAAGGCGGAATTGAACTTGGCCGTCTACTGGTAGACAACTCTACCACTCCACCCAAGGTCACTCTACGTTTAACGCACCCGAATGAACACGAGGTCGAAGGACAGCGAGCAAAGCGGGCGAGATACGACACTGAAGGGATACCAGACGAATTCGATGTCAACATCCCGGTCGAAAGATCAAAGAATACATATGTGTTCTCAGAGACGAAAAAGGTGTATGAGAAGGGAAGTGGAAGTGGTTCCGGGGATGGTGGGGCGGGAGGGGAGGACGTCAAGCCCGGGGTGAAAGCATATGTGCCGCGGGATGCGTGGGGAAGAAAGAAGCGGGACAAGGCAAACCCCAAGCTGGTGGCTAGAGTTGATCATGAAGGGCATGTTCAGCCTGTACGCAATGCAAAGTACTTGCAGCTGGTCAAAGAGCGTGGTCTGGACGCGGAAAAGTCAAAGAGGTGCGTCTTGTCATCTGGACGTCTGTCTGTGCTGACTCTCGTGTAGACCGATTGTGCGAATGGAAGACACTGGACTTTCTCAAGCAGAACAGAACCAGCTGGCGAGTGGTTTCAAGAGCGCCAACTCCAAGTTCGGCAGCAACATGATTGTGAGTCTACGATATTCGCAACATGCTACATGCTGATGACTTGCAGCTCTCAAACAAACCGTCTGGAGAACGTTTCGCTCGTCTCGAACGCCACGAGCTGACCGACCGCATCTTTCAATGTTTCCGCGACCACCCCTACTGGGCTCTTACGTCTCTTAAACAGACTCTTGAACAGCCGGAAGCGTGGTTGCGTGAAGTGCTCAAAGATGTGTCGGAGCAGGTCAAGGATGGACAGTACCAAGGGTACTGGCAGCTGAAGGCCGTTTGGAAGGAAGGAAATTTCAATGGTACTCAGGGCGAGGGTGTCAAGGGTGAAGTGAAGGATGAGGACGGGCTTGAGCCTTCTGTGAAGTCTGAAATCATGGACGACGATGAGGTCGATGACGACGACGACGACGACATGGAAGAGGTCATTTAGAGCCATACAAAATGAGTCATATGTTGTATAGTACAAATGCATGTCGCGCAGACGAAGCAAGACCCAGAACGCCCCCGTTCATCGCCCCAATACTCTATACATGGCCCAGTATGCCCTTTACTTCCCAGTCTCGTTCAAGATGGTCTTGTTGAAGTCTTCGAGAGGAACGAGATCCTTCTCGGACAACAGAGCAAACTACAGGATCATCAGCAAGTGTATTGATGAAAGCTTGGATATCTCACCTCGTCAACAAAGAGCAAAAAGTGTCGGTAGTTGGTGTTCAAGTGGGCTATCAATTTCATTAGCTTGATTCCCCTTCTCACAGGTTGGACTTACCCTCAATACCAAGAGCACAAATTTGGTCGAAATGCGAGTGGTAGATGTGCGCGTAGACTCTGAACAGTCTCCTGAGAATCGTCTTGGCGGTGGTCATGAACGTAGGTGGGAAGCGTTTGCCGATCGTCTGAGGAAAGTGCTTCTCGTCGTCGAGGATGGATTGGGTCCAAGACATGAGGGCTTCGACGTAAGCAGGGGCAGAGAGGTGGGTTGGCTTTTTGCTGTCAGACAGAGGTGAGCTTGATGAAACAAGAGGGGCGAGAGGGACATACTAGTTGGTTCCATCTTCCCAGAAGTACTCGTACTTGGGACCGGCGTTCATTATAGGGCACTGCGTACACCATCAACTCCGACGCATGTCTGGCAAGCTTGTGATCACTCACTTCAGCAGGCGTGCAAAACTCAGAGACAGTCCCATAGAGCATGTTGACATGGTTGAAAAAGTCCACCACTGAGGATCATCAGTACCTTTCCAAACCGTTTCACAAGCAGACACCACGCACCATGCACCGCAATCCATTCCTGAAGATCCTCTCCTTCCGGTAGCTTGACAGCGGTCCTAAGGTTACCAGATCCCTACGATATGTCAAATTAACATCGTTACGCCTCCTTAGCAACAATATGATAGCCCGATCCTCAGGCGAGCGCACGGACTTACCAGGGTCTGCTGGGCGTACTGCTTCAGCTGCCATTGTTTTGTACCTTCGGCAACCTTCTTTGGCTTAAAAGCTAAGTAGAAAGTCTATCAGAAGCTGTCTGGGGTAGTTTGGAGGACCTCCTCGACTTCCAGAGTCTGAGAACGTACTGCGAGATTGGCCGCTCTTGCTGTGTTTGGGTTAGCGAGGTGCGCTCGGCTGAGGGGGTGTGCTTACATGTTGAATAATGTAGACATTCCAGCTCGCTATCTGCTGATTGGGTATGTGCGGTAGCGTGTAGAAAAAAGAGGAGATAGCAAAGCTAAAGGTGTTTGAGTTACTTGGTCGAAATCAACAACACCCTCGCTCCGTCGAACGCGTCAGACGCGTAGACAATGTGTTTACGTAACTACTCTCGCGGCCTCTCTTCTGCACGATGCGAAGAGGCGAAGTGTTGATCAATCATGCTGCACACAAGGAGGTTGCTGAAGGGTCACATACAACCCCGTATCAGCAAATATGTATCGGACATACGCATGGCGAACGATGTACAGTATAGTCGACATCCCCACGCCGTGCTGAAGAACAGCTCTGCGCAAGTCTCGAATGGACAGCGTCGACCCCGAAGATGCATGGATTCACAAATGCTAAAGGGAAGAATATGGATACTACTTTTATACTGTACAAAGGTATGTGTCGTCTTTGGTACAGACTTGGTAAACATGTTGGGTATATTAGAGGTCGGTGACTGGGACTGTGTCAGCAAAGTTCTCTCGTTTGGAAAACATCAGACTCACCACAACCCTGAGAAGCATCCGTGACAGCCCTGGCATACTTCAACAAAGCTCCCTGAGTGACCTTGAGGGGGGGAGCGACCCATTCCTTCCTCCTCCTCTCCATCTCCTCGTCAGACACATCAACGGTAAGAGTGTTGGCGACAGCGTCGATAGAAATGATGTCGCCATCTCGGACAAGACCAATGGGCCCACCAACCTGGGCTTCGGGCACAACGTGACCCACGACGAAACCGTGCGAACCACCAGAGAATCGACCGTCGGTCAAGCACGCGACGTCGTAACCAAGACCAGCACCCATGATCAAACTCGTGGGCTTGAGCATCTCGGGCATACCGGGTCCACCCTTGGGACCGAGGTATCTCAACACAACGACAGTCTTCTCGCCCTTCTTGATCGATCCAGACTCGACAGCCTTGACGAAGAGCTCTTCCTCGTCAAAGGCACGGCACTTGCCGGTGAAGCGAAGACCTTCCTTGCCGGTGATCTTGGAGACGGCACCGCCGGGAGCGAGGTTGCCTCGGAGGATACGGATGTGACCAGTCTCCTTAATAGGCTTCTCGGTAGGCATGATGATCTTCTGTCCTTCCCACTTGCTTCCGTGCTTCTCAACCCATCGGTCACAATTCTCTCCAAGGGTCTTGCCGGTAACGGTCATCCCTTCGCCAGTCATGATGCCCTTCTTGATAAGGTGGTGGATGACGGCGGGAGTACCACCAATGTTGTGGATGTCTTCCATGACGTATTTTCCGGAAGGTTTCAGGTCAGCAAGGAGGGGAACACGGTCGGAGACGGCTTGGAAGTCGTCGATGGTGAGTTTGACACCGACAGAGTGGGCAATGGCGATGAGATGGAGGACGACGTTGGTGGAACCACCGAGGACCATGGTGAGAGCCTGCTAATCTGTCAGTCACGGTTGAGCTCAAGGTAAAGGTTACGCACCATAGCATTCTCGAAAGCCTGTCTTGTCATGATGTCTCTGGGGAGAATGTTTTCCTCCAAAAGGTTCTTCATGACCTCTCCCACAGAGTCACACTCGCCCAACTTCTCGGGGTAGACGGCAGGGGTCGATGATGAGCCAGGGATGGTCATACCGAGAGCCTCAGCGGACGAAGCGATGGTGTTGGCAGTGTACATCTACGGGACGTCAGCACTGCCCTCTTGGTCAAACGGCTACAACTCACTCCTCCACAAGCACCAGGACCAGGGCAAGAATTTCTGATGGTCGCCTGCCTCTGCCTCTCCGCCTCCTCCGTTTGGCCGTCCTGCAGATACTTGCCGTACGCTTGGAAAGCAGAGACGATGTCCAGCACCTCTCCTCCACAGCTTCCAGGCTTGATAGTACCACCATAAACCATCAATCCAGGTCGGTTGAGTCGACCGAGGGCGATGAGGGTACCGGGCATGTTCTTGTCACATCCGGGAAGGACGACCATACCGTCGAGCCAGTGACCACCAGCGGCTGATTCCACAGAGTCGGCGATGAGGTCTCGGGATTGGAGGGAGTAGGACACTGCGGTGTGTCAAAGGCAGTTCGAAATTCCAAGTAGACATTCACTTACTTCCCTTCGTACCCATGGAGATACCATCTGAAACACCGACAGTTCCGAATTGGTAGCCAATAATGCCAGAATTGACGAGAGACTTCTTGACCCTCTGCCCCAAAGCCAAAATATGACCGTTACATCTTTATGTGGATCAGCTCTGACCTCATTGCATTTTTCGGGAGGCCACTTACGGGTTACCCTCGTACCACACACTTCCAACACCGACCATAGCCTTGTTGAAGTCCTCAGGTGCGTCCACACCATCTGTGGCGTAAAGCATAGCCTAACACGGCAATGTCAACACCCTGTCCGAGTCATGCGCGTAAATTTCAGTGTACGAACCTGGGAAGCACCCTGGGCTTTTGGCTGGGTGATTGTTCTTGAGTATCTGTTCATGATGACCTCTTTGGAGGCTGTGGCGGAGGCGTGGAAGCCCCGCTTGGAGGTGGTGGCTGCTATGCGTCTGGAGAGCATTTTTGGTGGTGATGAAGAAAAAAACAGAACTCTCTCTAATCAAATCGCGTTGATTCGTCCAATACAAAAACGTCGATCCGACTCAGACCTATGTCACGTGACTATGCATGCCCGGCCGAAGATAGAACAGCGTCAGGCGGGGTGCCCAAGGGGTGCCACGTCTTGAAAACAGAGGCGAGAGCGGCCATGCAGACCTTGGTGTTGTCCTGGCGGTATCCGGCACTGTTGGCCGTGTGATGACAGGCCGATTCGATGTATGTCCCGCCAAAAGCCGTCGAATTGTGGCATGTTTCCGTGGGGCAAAGACGCGACTGATTTCATGTGGACGCTGCATTCGTTTGGTATCCGCTGGAGCATCTTCGGGACATGATATGCTGTGCTTCTTTTCCATCTTCGTGAACTCAGACATCTCTTACTCTTTCAGGTTGATAGCAACCTCATCCGTTCCGAGACATCCACTCTGTCATGACTCTCCGTGCCATCACATTGATCAAATCGCGGTTCAGTAAGATTCCGCTTCGCTTGTCGGTATGAAGACGGAACCCTAATTGTACGACAGGTACCGTACCCCCATGTGAACTGGATCTCGCAGAGTACCCATCCTTCCCCGTCTCTCGCCAACGCACACCCAATCTGCACCCGGTTCTGCGCGAAGCTCTCAAGGACTACGGAAAGGAAGCGGTTCTTCGACTAAACGGCGTTCTATTCGCCCGAGCTTTTGTCTCTCACACCTCTCAATACCCGTGCAAGATTGACGTTGAGATTGGTGGCGGGCTTGCACACAAGTACAATGCTGCCCCACAATTGCGCGACGTGATCCACCAGCACATGATACAGTCCATGCTCCGCGACATGATGGAATCTCACTTGCGCTCTCTTCCCCCCAATGACACTCTGGAAGAAGCCCAGCAACAGGTCGAAAACGTTCAAAACTTCTTGATGGAAGTCGTAGGAGATATAGGTGAATCTCTCAACCGCCCGGGTCTCAGTTTCACGTTCTTCTTTCTCACCATCCTTGAACACGACGCGTTCGAGGGCGCTCTGGCAACTGTGAGAAGGGACACCTTACCAGAGGGGTGGGAGAACATTGTTCTCATTGGCAAGACTGTCCTCTGGCAGAAAATGAAGGCATCGCACTCGAGGACTGTCCAAGTGTACGAACGTCAACTGGCAGCACAACGGCGAGGACAGCCACAAAAAAGCCTTGTAAAGACACTCGTCGCCTGCTCTCCGTGAAAGTATATCAGCTAGCTTCTTGATGCACTTATGGCTACCTACGTACAACATTACTGTTCTGTATACTACTAGGCGCAGCAATATGTGGGTGTAGCATTTCGGCTGCATCTTGGTGATCGATCCGGCGCTCGCTCACTCAACAGGACGCTCTCAGTTCTCTGCTTATGCTACCATCATGACCTTGCGTTCTCAACCTGTCAGACCTAGTATACGCCCCACATATTCAATATGAATGCCGCCTCACATTATCTCTGCATGCATGACTTATTGGCCCGGCCTTATCTATTTTCATTTTACGCGTTTCTTACATGTAATTATGTCCTCGCACTTGCACCAACCTTGCGCAATCTAAAGTACTCATTCTTTCAACTCCATCTCGTCTTCACGGCCGCATACCCCAAACTAAACCATGGAGGACCCAGAAGCCCACCAGGCGTCTCTCCAGGACTTACTACAATCCTCCACCGCCACAGACATCACCTCCCCCGCTGCCTCCTCCTACCTCGACCACCTCCTCGCCCTCCCCCTCCCAGAGCTCACCCGCCAGCCGAGCCTCATCTCTCTCGAATCATCCACCGTCGAGTCCGATCTCACAAACCTCTGCTTCCGAGAGTACCCCACTTTCATCTCGGTACACAAATGCTCTTCGGCTGTCAAGTCGGCTTTCGACGACTTTTCGGGATCATTGAGCAAGCTCATTGACTCAATACCAACTCTGGAAGAGGAATGTCGGACCTTTACGAATGAAAGTGGAAAGATCCAGAGGGTGCGGGGGAAGGCGTCCCTGATACAGGAACACCAGGACAAGCTCTTGGACCTGCTAGAGATCCCTCAGCTCATGGAGACGTGCGTCAGGAATGGGTACTATCAAGAAGCCATGGAGCTTCTTTCCCATTCGCGCTCTTTGAGCGAGAGGTACAAAGATATTTCCCTCGTTCAAGACGTCGTAAAAGAAGTCGACAACGTCCTCCAGCTCATGCTTGCCCAGCTCCTCACCCTGCTGCGCGAACCTGTCAAGCTGCCATCTCTCGTCAAATCCGTCTCTTTCCTGCGGCGACTGGAGGCTATGAATGAGGTAGAGCTTGGATTGGTGTTTATCGCTAGCAGGTATCGCAATTACCGGACACAGTTGGTACATATTGAGAGGGACAAGGGCGATCCGGTGCGGTACCTGCGCAAATACATCGATCTCTTCCGAGAGTATGTCTACGACATTATTGCTCAGTTCACCACCATTTTCCTCGACTCTCCCGATTCTCTACCGCATGTGACCGCTTTCGCAAGTCAGGCGGTCACCGAGCTGGTTGCGCTTGTGCACTCCTATGTCCCCCGCCTGTCGTCCGACCCCGCATCAATGTCTTCGATCCTCATTCAGTTGGGCTACTGCGTCATGTCCTTCTCCCGAGTCGGCCTCGACTTTGCCCCACTTATATCAGGGCCTTTTGGAGAGACGGCCATGACTTCGTTCTCCGATTCCATCTCCTCTGCTTCTACGGAATTCTCCGCCCTCCTCCGCGAGTCCTCTAAAACGTTCGCAGCACCCTCCAAATCCCTCGTCGTACCAGACTACATCCCATTCCTCGTCTCATCCCCCTCTTCTCCTCCTTCTTTACCTACGAACGGGGAGATCATCGAAGTCGCGACTCATTACCCGCCATTCGTGACTCTGATAAACGCCCATCTTACGGCGTTCAACAACCTCCGACTCCTCGCTCCCCTCTCTCTTCACTCTCAGATTCTCGCCCTTCACTCCGCCTCCCTCCTGTCCAGTACAACAGCGTTACTGGCGTACCTCCGACACACCTCTGCCCACTCCGAAGACGCGCCCCCAAGCCCGTCTATCGCTTCAAGTCCCACAGTCGCAGGACCCAGCGGCCGTCCGACACATACCCGTACCCCTTCCGCCCCTCGCGCAGACTTGTTGAGACGCAATTCGGAAGTCTTGCTCACGCCTGAACAGAGGGCGTCAAGACGACGTGAAGCAAAGAGAGTCAGCGTTGCTGCGGGGCATGTATGGGCTAAGGTTGTGGTGCCGTACCTGATGGACAAGCTGGAGGAAGGCGTATTCGGTGACGAAGGGGCTGAGGTTGACACGAAGCAAGAGAGGGTGATAGAAGGAGAATTGGGGAAGAGGCTGGAGCAGCTGGAAAGCTGGGTGAAGGAGAATGCGGAAGGGCTCACACTCAAGGAGCCGGCGCCGAGAAAGGAGCAGCGGGAAAAGGAAAAGGAAAAGGACAGGGCTGAGGTGGAGGAAAACACCCTCCATGAAGAGCCCGAGGAAGATGTGGATATGTCGAGGACACTGGAAGAGATTGAAGCGATAGTTGGGGAAGAGGCGCCGGACACGGAGGCTGCCAAGGTCGAGCCAGCCTCTCAGCAGGAAGGATCCATATCAACGCCAACGGCTGAGCCTGAGGCTTCAATGACTCAAGCCGAGACACCAGGGCGCTCTCTGCCAGAGCCGGTCGTTCCCGAGGCCCCTGTCGAGACTGTCTCTACCGATTCTTCTGTCCCAGATCTTCCAGTGTCATCGACGGCACCAGCTGCTACAAAGCCCGCTTTGAGTGAAGGCACCTCTGTGGAGACCGCTGGTGAAGTTGAAGCTCAAGACGGAGAAGCCACCGATGAACTTGTTGTAAAAACAACAAGTCCCCAGAAGGAGGTCAGCGAGCCTGAACCCGGCGTGAAGGACGTTGGGATCGAAGCGTCGTCGCCAAAGGCTGTCGACACCGAGATAGCGCCGGTGATTTCAGCAACGGAACCGTCCGAGGGGAAGCTGCCCCTGAACGGAACAGAGATAACAGTCAAGACGCCTGAGCCTCTTTCTGACCGTGAGTAAATCGAACTCAGCATAGGCATTCACTAATGCAACTGCAGTGACATCGTCGGGCGTAGAAGATACCCAGAAAGTGGCAGAGGATTTTCCCGCTGAGGTGCCAGTGGCCAAGGAGAACATTCCGATCAACTGTGAGTTTATCGGCTCTTCTAGTGAAAAGGTGCTGATCAAGATTCCAGCAACATCGCCTGCTGTAGAGGAGGCTGTGGTGACGAAGGGGGAAGACAGTGTACCAGAGACAGTCGAGACAAAGACGGGCAACGTTTCCGCCGAACTCGCGGCAGAGAGGGATGAAACCACCATGGGACCGGTCAACAATGGAGAAGAGATCAAGAATAGCAACACCGTGGAAGACTCTGGTGAGTACCTGCATCTGTGTCACTTGAGCGATACCAACGAAAGCATAGCTCTTGAGACAATCCCTACCTCTTCAATTGAAGAACCTTCCCATGCCGTCGGTCAAGGTTCCGAACCAGTCAACCCCCCCCGCGCCGAAGACGAAGGTCAAGAACTCGTTGTAACTCCCTCCGAGGCTCTAGCGGACTCTGAACCTCCTACACCGGCTACAGTGGACACATCTACATCGGGGCAAGCTTCGGAGAATCCTTCGAGGGCTCCGTCCCCTGAAGCGGGCCAAAGTGAAGCTGCGGCTGGAGGAGCGGGTGGTGGAGGTGGAACAAAGAAGAAGAACAAGAAGAAGAAGAAGAAGGGTGGAAAGTGATTGTGACAAGGGGATGTGGGCACAGGAGGAGGGAATGGAATGTAATAGAACAATTGTAGATGCCTGGCATCATGTAGACCATACTCTGCTTGCAATAGCGCTGCAGGGTGAAGAAATTTCCCCTTATGGCATTATTGAATGGACCGCGCGAAAAAAAGACCAAAAATAAATTAACATGCGTTATACGAAAGGGGAAGAGGGTATATAGAGTACGTCGTTGCAATGGGTCGTCTACGTATCGATCATGCCTCTCATGAAACTTTCTCCTCTTTCCCCTGCGACTCTTCGACAATCAAGGGGGGGTGCTAGAATGAACCTTGTCCAACTCTCGGCTATATCACCTCTCCGAGGGACACAAGTCAAAAGGTGGCAAGGTTAAGGAAGGGGGCGGGGGAGGTTTACAGCATGGCGAGATAGTTTGAAGGCGCAATCTATCCACCAAATCAGCTCACATACTCACATGACGAAAATGGGACGTACGCCTGTAGCACCAGAAGGTGTCCCAACCTGGTACCACTTTCCACTAGCATCCACAACATCAAGGATATCGCCCTTCATGAATGATACCTCATTGGGGTCGTCGGCAGAAGCGGAGTACGCGTACAGCGCCCTTTTCGTCACGTTAGCACACGAGTCACCTGGAAAAGAGAGCGACTCACTTGGCGCGGCTCTTGTAAGGATCGTCCATCGCTGGAGAAGCAGCTCCGTATTCACGAGCTGCCGGGCCCTGCTTTTGAGGGGTCGTATCCGTAGCAGCCGGTGCGTAACCACCTCCATATCCTGGCGAAGCCCCATTCACATTGTTGGACGAGATTCCTCTCGACATTCCAGCGCCCATGCCGACAGTGCCCCCTCCCATGCCGCCGCCCATACCGAGCTCTCCCCGGCCGCCACCGTTACCCATACCGCCACTGTAGGCATCCGAATCACGCCTAGCGATCCCTCCGCCAATACGCCTGTTGCCGTGGGTAGAGAGACCACCATTGCCGCGCGAGTTGAGGAGGTTGTAGATGAGGGTGTCTTCTTCAGAGGTGAGATAGAGGATCCAGATAAGCTATATCCCACACGCGCAAGTCAGCTGCCGGTCACATGATTAGCATACGGTGAGACCCACGTTGACGATGGTCAGTAGCAGCCATCCGACACCAGATGCGATGTAGGGGCCTTCAGTCTGGAAGATGAACTGCACGCCACCGACGGCGAGGGCAGTCGCGATTGCCAAGAAGATGGAGATTTGGAAACGGTGTAGAGCCAGAGTATCAGACGTCAACGCAAGGCTATCCACATGTCAGCTTATTTCAAGCAGGTTCTTATGGTGGACACGCGTACAAGAGGTGTATTATGATAGCCCTGTAGGGGATCGCAATCAGCTTTGAACGGGCATGGAAAAGGACACACGAGGTTCGGATCAACATGTGTTGAGAGACGTACAGCTGAAGCCAGATATTGAACCACAGCGTGCCCGCTACTGGCGTATGTCCACTACCCGATGCTGTACCCCCAAGAGTCAGCTCACTCGTCCATACCTCGTAGATCAAACCTTGTCAGGTCGTGAAGGGACTAACTGAACTTTGCCTCCATGGCACACTGTCCTGCGAAGGCGATGATCCATGCTGGGATGGCGATGATGAAGGTTACGAGGAAGACGGGGTGTCTGAAGATGTAGCCGGGGTCCATGCCTGCGCCGCCGAGCATTGTGGAGATGATAGAGATGCGTGATGCAAAAGTCAAAAGTCAAAACAAACACAGCAACAAAGGGCGGATTCTTAACTCGGTAATTACTCGCATAACAATCACGTAAACAGGGTGAACTCTAGTCGCGGGTCCTTTCGCTCAACCGAGCGCACTCTTGCGAAGAATATCAGGACCGCACGCCAGCAGCCAGAACGAGAGAGCGAAAGAGAGAGGGGCGATCTATGAGCGAGGCATGAGAATGGATTCCCCCAGATCTCTTGCTTCTCGATTTAGGGATTTCCACCGGTCACCAAGTTACGCCCTGAGACCGAGTAAGTATGCACCCTGATACCCGATCGATACAAAGATCCATGCTCAAACCATACACAAAAAGATTCTCAAGAAGGCTTCAAGAAGAGGAGGTATCACAGCCCAGTGGCTTCTTTATAGCAACAAGTCATCAAAGTTTCCTCCAGCCGCTGGCTTGGCCGCAGCCGGAGCTTGGGGAGCAGCGGCAGCAGGTGCACCAGCCCCAGTGCCCGCACCCCACAAAGTACTGCTCATCTTCTCCTTCTCCAGATCCTTGATCGTCTTACCGCCTCCTCCCGACTGCTGCTGCACAGGCTTCCCCAAAGACGAGAGCGACGACGCAAAGAGGTCGTCAAAGGTGCTGCCCTTGGGCTTGGGTGAGGTGGCTGCTGGGGTCTGCGCCTGGCTAGCGGTGGCAGATGATTGCGAGGCGTAGGAAGGGTAAGAGGTGGTGGGCGGTTTGGAGGCGGTAAGGGGAGGGGAAGTGAATGCGCCAAAGCTGGTGCTGGGGGCAGGAGCGGGAGCAGGGGTGGGGGTGGGGATGGAAGAGGAGTTGGAGTTGAGGAGGTCAAAGACGTTGTTGTTGGTCTTGGGAGCAGTAGGAGCGGGAGTAGGGGCGGCCGATTGGAAGTCGTCAAAGTCGTCTATATCCACGTTAGCTGGGTGTGTTACAGAGTGAAAGATGAAGTCACCATCAAGCACAGAAGAGGAAGCTGCTGGAGCAGCAGCGGGCACAGATGCAGACAGAGGCTCGTCATCAAAGTCAAACAAATTGACTTCCTTCGGCTTCTCTGCCTTCTTCTCTTCCTTTGCTACCGGCTTCGGAGGCGCCCCGCCAGACGCAACCCTCGAACTCGTTCTGTGGGACACAGAAGTCGTCCGTCTAGGGGGAGGCTGGTCATCAAAGTCGTCGGCGCCTTCATACTCGTCGAACTGGGTTTGTTGAGAGGAATCGTTGAAACCTCCTCGGGGTGCTGAGCGGTAATGGTCCGAGACAGAGTTGATACCCGAGCTGCTTCCACTACCCCCACCTCCGCCCAAGGAATCACTCCCGAAACCGCCGTACCTGCTTCCAGAAGAAGTCACAAAGCTCATTCCACCGTCATTGCCCCCGCCTTGGTACTTGTTCCTGTTAGCCTTGGCCTTGCGGCGCTCGACTCGGATCCTGTCGACGTCGCCCAATAACAGCGCAATCTCGTTTGCCCTGTTTCGCACTGTGGCTTTGTCAGTCGTGTTGCCATAGAGAATAGGAAAGACATGCCGTTGATGCCCTGGTCCTTGGACTTTTCGTCAACATAGTGGAAACTACGGAGCATCTTGATAGTAGAGATGTGGGCCCGGGCGTCATCTACGACGCGTTCGGAGCCGTTTTTGACGAGGAATTCGAGGAGAGTGAGAGCCTTGTATATCTGACGCCACTCGCGGGCTTCCTTCCTGTGACAAAGTTAGAACTGTCATCGAGATACGCGTGAGGGTACTCACTCCATAAATCGGGAGTAGATGCAGGGCATGATCTCGTTGAATTGAGCACTGTCTACAATCAGTCACCCGCCGACCACTTATCAAGCTGATCTTACAAGTTGTGGGTTCTACAAGTCGTCAGCTCTAACATCTCGTACTGTAAATGCACACTCACCCCTCGGCGATCTGCAACATCAACGTCGAACTCGCGCCCCAAGGGTCGTCATTCGTCGCTTCCCTCACTTTCGCCTCCATCTCGCTGATATTGAGGACAGCGTTTTTGGCTTGTTCATAGTACGACTTGACGTCGTACATGGTAATCTGGGATGCCTGCTTGGCAAGACCTGGTGGGAGAGTCAGCTTCGCGTGTCAAGGGCTCGCCAAGACGTTGCAAGGGGCTGTCTCAAGGAGCTGACTGCTCTTATGAAAGCTGTACTCACTTTCAAACATGTCCATGTTGGGCAATGTCTCTCCAGGGGATTGTTTTGAGAGGGCAAGAAAGACAGGGGATGAGAGGAATCATAGGTGCACCAAGTTGCTACAGTGACGGACAGCATGGCGCAGCGGCAACCCCCGCCCTCCACGTGGCATTCGAACGTGATACCCACCCAGCCCGTCGGTTTCGATAGCAGTCCCGTCCACAAGTAGATCCATCTCCATCGACATATACAATGGCCGCACCATCCCCCGCCGTCAAGCCAGCTTATACCATCCAGGTCGCAGACTCGCAAGAGCTCGTCCAGGCGTGCTACGATGTCCGCATTGAGGGTGCGCACGCGCTACCTGACGGTGGTTCAGTTGCTGACTAGAATAGTGTTTGTCGTCGAGCAAGGGTTTTCTCATGATGACGAGATTGACGAGTAGGCCCTTCCCTCGTAGTTCTATTATGATTATTGACCATGTACAGGTACGACCCCCAATCGATCCACTTTCTTCTCACCACCCCTCTCCCCTCCCCTCCACCCGTAGCCACCTCTTCCCTCACTCCCAACCCCGCCACCGCAGGTGGTACCACAGAGTACCCTATTGGCACTATCCGATTCGTACCCGGAAAGAACAAGCTCACGCGATTAGCGGTGCAGAAAGAATACAGACAGTATGGGTTTGGAAAGGTGTTGGTGGAGGCGCTGGAGACGTTTGTTAAGGAGAATGCAGTCAAGCAGAATCTGGGGGCTGTTTATGAGGAGGGAGGGAAGAAATGGATAGATATCAAGTGCCATTCTCAGGTGCGCCAATGGTTATTCCACTGGAAGGGTTGTGGCTGACGCCGTGATAGCTCTATGTGATCCCCTTTTACACCAAGTTTGGATACGTCGCCGAAGGTCCCCAGTTTGACGAGGACGGAGGTGAGATTGAGTATTCGCGATGGTCTACAAATGCTGATTGTCGACTGTCAGCCCCTCATCAGCTCCTGATCCACAAGCTGCAGGTCGATTAATAACTGTATGGGTGATACCATCTGGCTCCATCCGGCTCCTCGTTCTACATTCGATCGGACAGTCATGCAACCAGTCACGTGCTTATGCAGCTTGGTCCTCCAACGATTGCCGCACAGGTATCTGCATGACACGACACACATATGGCATTACAGCTCCCACACGAAGATCACCATCGCCTTGTAGGGATCATGCCCATACACGCCTCCAACGCCCGCTCAAATGCCCGCCCTGGAAATTTACCATGCCCGCCTATCTTCCCACTCTGCATCTTCCACCCTGACCAACCCAATCTGAGACGGGTTGACCAACGCCAGAGCGGACCTCTTGATCTGTGAGATGTCCGTCACGCCCGCGAGCGCCATGACGAGTTTGAATTCCTCGGTGATGATATCTAGGGCCAGTCCTACACCAGGTTCGCCGTTGGCTGCCAAGCTATCGTTTTATCATCAGCACTCTGACATCGAGGGGAAAAGAGGTGCTTACCCCCAGAGGACGGCACGCCCGAGCAAGACAATATCAGCACCCAGAGCCAACGCTCGAAACACGTCAAGCCCTTTCCTCACACCCCCATCAAAGAAGATCGGTATCCGGCCTTGGACAACGTCGGCGATAGATGGCAGGGCGTCTATGGTTGCTGGAGCAGCATCGAGCTGACGACCGCCTGTATCAAAAGTGAGTACAAGAAGCGAGTGTGGACAACATTAGGGGGGAGGGAAGCTTACCGTGGTTGGAGACGACGATGCCGTCAAGTCCGTGTAGTAACGCCAGAAGGGCATCTTCGGGATGGAGGATGCCTTTCACGAGGAGTTTGAGGGAGGTGATGGAGCGAAGCCAGGGGATGAGCTCGTCCCAGTGCATCGAAGGATCTGATACTGCGAATCAGCTGTCGGTCTTTCAGGAGTAAGACGTGGCAAGACTGACCTTGAGCCATCTTGGCACCGGTATCTCGCCTTAAATGTGGGGGGAGTTCGAACTTCTCTCGCAAGTGGGTATGGCGACGGCCGAGGTATGGTCTGTCGACAGTGATGAGTAGAGCTGTATACCCGGCCTTCTCGGCGCGTTTCACGAGGGCTTCGGTATCTTGCCTCTCGGAGGCTTATTGCAAGTAAGCACTGCAAGATCTGACGTCAATAAGATGTGGACTCACAGACATAGAGCTGATACCACCAATCGCTGTCAGTCACAGAGGCTTGCGGCCCAGCAGTGGCGTCACTCTGGATAGACTTGACGGCAGTGCCAGCGTGGATGACGTCCTCCAGAGATGAGGTCGATGAGGACGAGAGACCCATTGAGATGCCTCTTTTCGAAGCGGCTACTTTCATCAGTATTTCGAACTTTGACAAGCGGAGATACGCACCTCTAGCAACATCCAACTCTCCATCAAATCCCGCCAACCGATGGAAAGCCGACGGCCCAACCGCAAACGGCACATTCTGCCTCTTCCCCCAGACTGGTCTACTCCTCGAGTCAAGCTTGTCCAGCCCAACATCGACCAAGTAACGAGGGACGATGCGGTAGCGCTGGAGAGAAGTGATGTTTTCGCGGAGGGTGATCTCTTCTTCAGCGCCGGAGGCATAGTAATCACGCGTGGACTTGGGTAGTTTGGCGAGTGCGATCTGAGGGAGGGATTGTCTAGTAAGCACCTGGTATACAAATGAGAGGACATACCCTCTCGAGGTCTGCAATACTGATAGGCTTTGGGTCCATGGCGGCGAGTGCTCAGAAGGACAAGATCATCTCGCGAGGCCATGTCGGGCGTTGTTATTCGGGCGATGTGCGACAACGAACTATGTCGCAACCACCATCTGCGCAGATAATCCGAAGCCAATCTCGGTCATTTCCGTATGCACATCAGGAGAGTACATACGCCATCGGAGACGACGACAAGAGATGCGTAAAGGCAGGCACACCTCCGAATCACGTGCAATGCAGTCATCGGTCAATAGATAAGCAGCGCTCGACTTCTCTGCTGTTGGCAATCCTCTTTTACTCTAGTCCCGAATATCCGAAGGAGTTCACCCGAGTGGGAGAGTCCGAGGGGGAATTGTGGGCGGGGGATGTTGTTTATCCAGAAAACGACCCAGTGACGTGCTATAGAGCCTTATGCTTCGACCATCTCAAACTCGAAGCGCCTCTACTTTATTGACAAGCTTTTTCGGGCCATGAATTATATCACTCCCCCGGTGATCATTCACTACAATGGTCAAGGGCAAGACAGAAACCCTCACGGAGCGCGCCGAGACAGTTCTTTACGAAGGCGATACTGACCTTGCCATACCAGCCGCGTATCAGGCTGCCCCCAAGCTCACATGGAAAGGTCGTATTTGGGACACGTTTGATGCCCCTGCCAATGTAAGCATCGATACTGAGCACAAGGCTCTGGAAGCTGATTCTATGATAGGAGAGGAAGCTTCTCTTCAAGCTAGATGCTGTCCTTTTGGTGTTTGGCTGCCTTGGGTGGTTCATCAAGGTAAGTGTCCTCAGCTTTACCAATCTCTGTTGTCCCTGACCGCCGTGTAGAATCTTGATCAAGAAAATCTCGCCACTGCTTTCGTGTGTCGCTGCGTGTAACAACAGGCCTTTGTGGCTTGCTGATGCGTTCGACAGGTCTCGGGTATGAAGGAAGACCTCGATATGTACCAGAATCAGTACACGACCGCGACCACCATGTGGTGCGTACCTTCCTTCTTCGAGTCCCTACAAATCTGACAGTTAATAGGACCGTCGGATACTGCATCGGACAAATCCCGTCAAATATCATCCTCTTATACGTCTCGCCTCGATATTGGATCCCGGCGCTCGAAATTGTCTGGGGCTTGTAAGTCTTCCCATATAACCTCCAACATATCATCTGACGCTGACCATGGACGTAGGTGTACTCTTCTGACATACCGTGTTTCCAACTATCGATCGCTTTACGCCCTCCGGTTCTTTGTTGGATTGGCTGAGGCTGGCATGGTGAGCTCGCTCCTCATGACTTGTCTCCACTTGATAACATCAATTGATTTGTTTTACCAGTATCCTGCTTTGCACTGGATGTAAGTGAATGTGGATCTCGGATACTAGAGGAAGCTAACACATCACCTTCACAAGCCTGGGCTCCTACTACAAGGTATGCGTGTCTATCTTGTCAAAAAGCGCACACTGACAATATTCATTAGCCTCATGAGCTCTCCAAACGTGCAGCTCTCCTTGGTACCTCAGCTGGACTCGGCACACTCTTTTCATCTATCCTACAAGCTGCCGCCTACACCAACCTTGACGGTGTCCATGGAATCGCCGGATGGCGATGGCTGGTAAGATCCTTCGTTCTTGTTGAGCGAGATGACCTGAAATTGATCTGATTGCCCGCTTAGTTTATCATCGATGCTGTCATCACTCTCCCAATCGCAGTCATGGGTTTGGTCTTCCTTCCTGCTGTCCCTGGTCATTCGGGCAACAAGCCTTCATTCTGGTTATCTCAAGAGGCGAGTCCATCCACTACCTTCAACCTCATGTTCTGACGCTTTTTCTTTTCCAGGATCTCGACCTCGCCAAAGCACGTATGGACTCGGTCGGACGAGCACCCGTCCGCCGTCTCTCCTGGAAACGCGTGCTCGGCTACGCAAAGACCTGGCACTTTTACATCTTGCCCCTCATGTACATGATCTGGAACAACTCTATCAAGTTTACGGGTATCATGTCGTTCTGGCTCAAAAGCGCGGACAATCCTGTTCAGCGAGGTGTTGCCGAAAGGCAACATTTGGTAGTGAGTCATCGGGACTTTGAGACGCAGTGCTGACAAGAACTAGATGCCTGTCACTGCCATCGCCAGTACATCACAGACCTAAGAGTATGCGGTACTGACGACAGATGCAGGGTATCGTGACTGGCTGGCTCGGAGCCTGGCTCTCTGATGGCGCATTCCGAGGCCGCCGATGGCCACCTATCCTACTTGCTAACCTTTGGAGCTTTGTGATAGCCGTGGCTATTGTCAACATCCCTCTGTGGGCAAACCTCCCTGCCCATTTTGCTTTGTATTGTGAGTCTATAAGCCCATGGCCTGAATGGAGTACAGAGCTGATTACGTCCACTATAGATTTGAGCGGGGCGTAAGTGCACAGATGATCGTCCGGTCGGATGATATGTGCTGATCAGACATTAGAGGCACCAACTTCGCCGGATTATACTTTGCATGGATCAATGAGGTAGCTCCATGTTCAGCTCCTCCGCGTATACGATAGCATAACTGACTCGTGGTCTGCCCAGATCTGCGGAGCCGATGCCGAAAAGCGTGCTTTGATCTTAGCTATGAGCAACGATGCCAGCTTTGTGCTTCAAGTATGGACTCTTTCGTTATTGACAAGACATACATACTGATTGCCGTTTGGTCTCGATAGAGTATCGTACCCAATTTCGTATGGAAGCAAGTCGATTGTGAGTATACTTGCTGTGACAAACAAAGAGACTTGGCTGATGGTATCGATCAGACCCGAAGGCGACCAAAGGTCTGTGGTATACTGCTGGGCTCTGCTTCGCGTTAAGTGCGTATCCCACTGACTGGAAGGCAAATTTCACTAAGCACTGCTTACACGATCATAGATTTCATCATTCTCTTGGTTCGATACTTGCACAACCGAGACAAGAGATTTGCTATCCGAGCCGCTGGCGAGGTTGGAGACGAGGAAGGATTCTCGCCCAGTGAGAGTAAGGAGGATGTCAAGGCTCTATAAGGTTGTCTCATAAGGTATTCTGTCTGTTATCCTAGGGGGTATCTTTCCTTCTGGGGGTTATATTTCGGGTAGTAGTGTCATGCGGGCTCTTTCCGGTATCAAAGATTCATGCAGCAGACTCAGTTCAATGACATGATCAATATTCGACCGTCTTGAATGACCCAGCAGTAATAAATCATGTCTGCTTTCACGCCCTTACAACATGGAGCCAGATCATCATTCTGCAAGTCTGACGTCGTCATGGACGGCGCAAAGGCATGGACAGTCACCTAAGGCACGACGCAATCATCGGCGATAAAAACCATCCTCCAAATTTGACTCCGTTTGATTCCGTCGCGCTGCCGCACTGGCGCTCACTTTGTAGGTTTTGAGGGATTGGGTCTCTCAACCATTAAGCGCATACAGCCAGTGAGTACAGCCATGGGGGCCACAGGGGAGGGCGCTGACAGACACCAGGGTACTCGTCAAAATGGCCAAGTCGAAGAACCACACCGCCCACAACCAGAACAAGAAGGGTTAGTCACAATCCAGTCGCCATGTCATCGGAGAGGGAAGGGAACAGGGGAATGATGGGGCGATGAGCATTGGGACGGGGAAAGAACAGAGTGTTGACTTTGCCTATAGCCCACAGGAACAAGATCCAGAGGCCTAAGACCAACAAGTACCACTCCCTTAAGGGTGTTGACCCCAAGGTTCGTCAACTCGCAAAATTTGGCAAGGACATGGATGGCATGGGAACGGGATGGAGATGGGACTACTGTGGCACTGGAGATGGCTGTATACCGAGTGTGGGAGATGGGCCAAAGGAATCCGCCTTTTCAAGGAGGAGAAGCTATGCTCCACTGCCGCGCGTCACCTCATCCCAGCAGTCTTATCTCCACCAGACCCTTCCCATACCTCGCCCATCCTTGCCAGACACCATTGTACGACCTGGTGCTAATGATCATTGCAGTTCCGCCGAAACGCCCGATTCGCCGCCCAAGGTTCCGAGAAGGCTCAGCGTGAGGCTAAGGCTTCCGCCTAAAAACCTCTCTGTATGAAAATATAGAAAGGATGGGACTGTAGGGAAGATGTATACATTTTCACTGCACTCTGCAGATGGCGTCATGCGTCGTCGACGTCGCGAGAGACAGATGTGTCGCGTTTCTGGATAGCATGGCGGTCAGCTTGGACGATTGGGGTATGACCGTGCCGGTTGGCTGGGACACAGGGATGGCTTCATGGCAGACGCTGAGGTCACCGGCGACATGGATTACGGCCCATGACCGTCCAGGGGCGAACTCGTCTCGTCGAATATCTGCACTCGGCCGAAATCTTCAGTATCTTTTTGGCTGATCATAAAACATTCTGCTCACTGTTTTCTATCAACATCCGTCAAACCGCCCCTCGCCGCCTAATGACCTCCTGACCCCTCACTCATAACTCAAGCAATCACGCCACTGTCTTGGCTGAGGACACGTTGGAAGGAAATCGAGTTGGGGAGTGATGTACTTGTATCTTCTTGGTGCAGTGTGCTTGCTCACCAACGCTGTGAGATCACTAGGAGCCTCCTCACCTATTCTTGAGAAATGTTTCGAGGCGATTTGGAGGCAGACTGTAACATGGGCATAGCCAAAGTGTCCAAAGTGTCTTAAAGGCAACGCACAAAAGTCTATAGACCATTTGCATAGCACATATAACCCCCTTCTTGCACTATTAGACCTTCTTCACCTCTTCCTTCACCTCAGCTCCCTGTCCAACCCCCAAAAGCTCATCAATCTTTCCATTGACCCTCTTCAAACTCCTATTATACTTTGCCCACTCTTCCCCTCTACCGACCACCACCGCCTCTTCCTGTCCTTCTTCCTTGGGCCCCTTCTTACGCTTGTCTGCGCCAGATTCAAGCAGAGAAAGCGCTGTGGCACGTTGGAACTCTTTCTGCGCGGCTTGGAGGGTGGTGAGAGTGGTGGGTTGTGGTTTAGAAGCCGAAGAGGTGGTGAGAAATGAGAAGAATGGGATGGACCATGATGAGGAAGTAGAGGCAGCTGGAGATACAGTCCTCTCCAGGAGAAGACCCCTGGTGAAAGCAATCTCTGCGCCCGTGAGGAGCGCATCTCGAGCGAGGAGTTTTGCCGCCGGCGTTGTCGCTTTGCTCTTATCGAGATACTCTTTCGGCATGGGGTTGATGTCCGCAATGACCTCCTCCGCCTCTTCCTTGGCCTCAGCAAGGAGTGGGAGAGAGCGAGGGTTGGTCTTGTGCAGAGCGTAGAGGACTGAAGAGAGGTGGAGTTTCAAAAGGGATGAACGTTGGGTGAGCCACGTCCAGTGAAGCTCTGCCGCTGGAGTTTGGTTGGCGGGGATGAGGGGAGGAGGAGTGAGGTAGGTGAGGCCGAGGGCTTGGAGTTCGGAAGCCGCTTGGAGAGAAGAAGTAGTGGCGAGCTGGGCAGAGGCAGAGGTGATGAGGGCAATGGTAGCTCTCAGCACTGGCGGTGGGAGATCTTTCACCTTTGCAGCAGGTTTGCCTTCCACCCGCCCTACCACCTTTCCTTGGATGTCTATCCCAACGTGGTCAAGACCCCATGACCACCATTTCGTAGCTTCGTCTCTGTTTCCCGTCCTCGCGCAGAGATCACCGACTTTACTCGCGAGGCGCATCACCTTTGCCTGTCCGCCCGGGCTGACACTGCCAGGTGCGGAGGCAGAAGAGGAAAGAGAAGATAGTACTTGCTCGTATACGTCTTTGGCATGAGCGAGAGAGTCAAACGTGTTGATTCTCTCCAAGACGCCTGCTTTGAGCAGAAGCAGGTCCATCGCCGCTGGATCGCCATGCGGCCCCTTGTACCCATCATTGTCGAACGCTGGTCCAGAAGCCCTTGCTCCACTGAGTTCAGGCGGGAACACCAACCCCTTCTTCTTTGCCTCTTTGATCGCCAGATCGACATACTCATCCGCAATCTCATACCCCCGATCGACCCTCTTTCTCACCCCACCCCCCGCCTGATCCGCCTGGGTGGTAGTGATAATCGAACGAGCCGCAACATAGTCGGGGTGGAAGGCGGAGGTGTGCATGCCTTTTTCGATAGAGGCGGAGGAACCGGCACCCCATTCTTGGGATATCCAAGCAGCTCTGAGGGCGTGGCGAGCTTTGAATCCCAAACGGGGGTCAGTCCCACCCTTGGGTCCACCTGTCCATCCCTGATGCTCTCCGTCCCATCCCCACACGCCGTCTATCCCAGAATCCTCCCTACTGGGCGCCCCCATGCCCACCTTCTCAACCCAAAGATGCAGCCCTTCAAACCCAATTAAGCCTGTAGCCCCGATACCGACAAGAGATATGAGGACGTATTTGATGGTTCGGGAGAGGTAGGAGAATGCGTAGATGGTAGAGTCGGTGTACTCTGTGGTGCGGTGGCTGATATTTCTGGTGGGGGGCACAGAAGAGAGGGGCCGTCTGAGAAGAGGCCTGAGGGGGAGGGTTTGGGGACGGCGGAGGAGGCTGAAAGGGGTCAGCAGAGTAGTAGGGAATGGGGGGCACTTACACCAGGGGGCGAAAGGATCTCATGATGGGGCGGATAGATGGAGAGAATAGAAAGCGTGAATTGTTGCAAGAGATGCAGAGAAATCCCCGGGCGCCGAGGGCAAGAGTGGAGGTTGATTCATGTCCTCTATCTTCAAACATTTCTGGGAGCCATCTTCCTGAGCGAACCAGAATGAAGTGCTCTATCTAGCTCTCGTAACGGCAGCTAGTGTTTTCTAAATATGTACAAATTTGTTTCACTGTTCGGCTTCAAACAACCTTGCTCGCAGCGTGACTTGGAAAGCAAAGTTTGTTGCATGGTCTTGTCTTTAGGACGTCGTGAACAATAATCAGCGAGTAGATAGATCACATCACACACTATTATGATCGGTATGGAATGGGGGAGTGATTAATGCATGCTTGGCGATATGATTCCTTCTTCCTCCTTGTCTTCTCCAGTCAACACTCTATTCCTGCTCGTCAGGAAGACCGTGCATGGCCTTCTTCTTGTACGCCGCTTGGTCTCGGAGCCAGCGCCTGTACGTTGAGAGCGACACAATCTGCGCACAATTGAGTCAGCGTCTATTCCTCATCCCTTCTTCAGCTCCTGGGCCATCTCCTCTCCTTTCTCCTCCAGCGATTCGGGAAAGACAAATTACCTTCTCTCCATAAAAGTCTGGTACAATGTTCTGCACGCTCTGGAACCTCGGGTCTGCCCTGTTCTTCTTGATTCTGTGGTAGAACTCGCGGTCCATCACTTCTAGCGGGGCAGGGTTGCCGCGGGCAAGGGAGGGGTGGGTGATGGAGAACAGGCCGGAGCCTACGGTAGGGCCGAGGAGGTAGCCGAGACCTAGGAGGGAGGTCAGTAAGCTGAAAGCGAGTTTCACGGTTCGGGAAGTGCTTACCCATGCAAGCCATTCTGTGAGGCAGAGATGATTGCAACGGTCAGTATGTCATCTGTACTTACACTTGCTCCCTTGACTTTTGAAGACTCACGTAGCACCTCCATACACAAACCTTCACCAAAATGTCAGCGTTCAACTCTATACACATCCATATTCTCCACGTACATAGGCTCAATCCCAAAGATCAACTGAGTAGGATCCGCTTCCAGACTAGCAAAGTATCCTCCACCCAAAAAGAGTCCCGCCAACGTCGTAGGCACTGTGGTAACGCTATGCCACAAGCGCTGCTGCCTCCTCAGTGTCAGGTACTTGGGCCATGAAAGAGGCAAGCTGCCGGTCGGCAGGGAGTGGGACGGCTGGGTGTGGGAGGTAGAGGGTTCGAGGGGAGAAGAGAAGGAGGAGGCATGGCGGAGGGAGAGGGGGGCGATGACTGTTCGGGGGGCGAGGCCGGGGCGCAGGGAAGAGATGAATGCTCTGGACATGGTAGGTGGGTGACAGCGAATAGATAAAACAGCGACGAATTGGAAGAGCATCGACCGAAAGACGCAGCGCGAAAGGCCGATGATGATGATGTGTAAATGGGGGGCTACTTAAGAATATCTGGAATTCTGCTTGGCTGTAAGACCCTAACTCCACTATGGCTCTCCTCTCTCCTCTTTATTGATCACACTTTTGAGGCCGTCACCATGCCGTCTAGTCCCCAGCCATCCAGCAAGCTTTACCCTCAGGCTCCATGCGATCCTCCTACTCCCAGCTCGATACAGCATACACTCAGAGATATCGACAATGACCCGTATGAGAGCTCTGTGCAGGGTCTATGGAGCAAACTCTCAACCGAATCCTTTGGTATCAAGACAGGGCCGATACTGAAACTGGCAAGTACACGTCCTTTGTCATTATTCAAGATCCACCTTTGCTTTCGATCACATCTCTTGTGAACATGAAGGCTCAACGATGACGTATCGTCAGAGCTGGCTTTGTAAAGAATACGAGAATTGGGTGAGCCACAGAGCCGAGGTCAAGAAGGCGTTAAAGAATATGGATTTGGCATTTACTGCCTCGCTCAGGTACAGCTACAAACGTGTGAATAATCTTCTAGAATTCCAGCTGATCATTGACACATCTCGGCAGGCCGAAGGTTCGAAAACAAACGAGTCTTGCACTTCCAAGAACTCCCCAGACATACCTCTTTGTACTCCTGTAGGACCCTTACTCCGTTACGGAATAGCTCAGAGTACCCGATGTCTTGCATATTCTTGTCGTCTCCTGTCATGCATCACTACAGTCTACAAAAATTGGCTACTATACATCTATTCCGCGACTTTCAAGGTGGAAGAAACAAGATACCAGCCCTATGATTTTATTCAGACTCCAGCTCTTCTTCGTCCGCATCCACCACCACCTCCTCTTCCTCATCTGTATCCATATCCACCCCCGCCAAGGCCATCGCCATCGCCAGTCTATCGCTCGGATCCACCGTAAGCGTCCTGTCCTTCTCCTTGGTACCCGGACCGCCTTTGGCGAGTTGGCCGTGCCAGCGAGTGTCGTTGGGCGTACCCTTGAACTGTGCAACGAGGGCCTCCATGCGATCACGGAATTTCCAGCAGTGGGTGGCGTAGGACGTAGGCGTACGCTTGGGATACTGCACAGATTGTGAGCTACAGGTCATGGAGGGTATGTGGAAGACTTACGCCTCGGGGATTGGCAGCCCAGCCCTGCCAAGTGAGATAACTAGGCAAAACCGTCGTCACATTGTGATCCACAACATACTGCGCCATAGCCTTCTCCTCTTCATCCGTGAAACTCTTCTTTGGCACCACAGCCACCTTGGGCTTCTTCTGCTTCTTTGGCCCTGTGGGCTTGTTGGCCGCGGGCTGTGCGGGCGATTTGCCAATGGAAGGACGAGGTGCAGATGGTTGGGGGTTGGTGCTGACAGCAGGGGCGCGAGGCGCAGACTTGCGAGGCGCCGGGCGAGGAGCCGCGCGCATGGGAGGAGGAGCAGGGGACACGAGAGACGGCCTGGGCTTGACGACCTTGGGCGAGTGTTTGGGTTTGGTGTCTTTGGCGAGGTAGATAAAACGTCCCTTCTTAGTCTTCCAGTTATTGTAGTAGATTTGCCAGGAGCCGACACTGTAGACACCGATCTGTGATAGCGTTAGCCTCCAGTCAGCTTTTGAATGATTGGCCTCACCTCTTTCTCCAGCCACCCGGCAATTTCACTCCTCGATGCGCCCCGTCCTTCCCACTCCGCATCCCTCTCCTCAAAGATCTTGCACAGCTTTTCGTTCGTCATGTACTCTGTCACCCCTTGCCCCGTACCAGTCTTGACTGCCGGCTCATCATCCGAATCAATATCCTTTGCCCCATCATCCAAATCAGACTCTTCCCCCGTGTCGACCATAGGCCGAGCCAGCGATTTGCGCCGGGAAGGGCCTGGGGATCTTTGTTGAGAAAGCGGGGAAGGCTTCCGTCGGGCACCGGGCGGTGGAGGGGAGTAGGGTGATTTGCGCTTGGGTCCGCGAGTGGGCCGGATTACAGTAGGAGCGCGTTGGACCGCAGGCTTGACGGGAGCTTTGGGCGCGGGCTCTTCTTCGTCCTCGTCTATGAGTTTGCCTTGCTTTTGCTTCCTCCAGCGTGTAAAGTATGCTTTCCAAGTCGATCCGAGGTATACGCCATACTGCTCTCGTGAGCGCAGATTCAAATAAACGCCAATAGACTTACCTTGTCCGCCAGATAGTGGCCCGTTTCATCCAAATTGAGATTGGCATTCCAGATAATCTCATTCTCCTTTTCAAACACATGGTTGACATCACTCCAGCTCAAAGTCGAGGGTTCCATCGGGATATACCTCGGGGTATCGTCGTGATATTCATCCGCCTGTATAGGTCTTTGAGCGGACCTCGTGTTGTACTCGAGCGAATCGGGGCATGACGAGGAGAGGTAGGAGAATTGGCCGTTCTGGTATAACCAGCAGAGATAGATATCTCGCCAATCCGAGTAAGAGTATGCGCCGTACTGTATTAACGTGAGCATGTCATTTGAGACGGTACCTTTAGGTACGCACCTTTTTGCGAAGCAGACCGATGAAATAGCTATCCCTGATACCAGGCCCCAAGCACATCCTCTCAATTGACATGATCTCGTCCAGTTCACTCAACGTCGTCGTCTCCCTAGACACAAAGTCGCTCTTTGGCACCTGGCTGCCTGTCGGCCAATCCCCGTCAGACTCATAGGCACCAACGTCACTATCAGACTCTGCCGACAGCTCTTCATCCCTCGCAGGAGCTTTGCCCTTATTCGAAGGCTGAGGACCGCTACCCTGGTAGAAACTCTGGGCTGGAACAGCCGAGGAAGAACCTTGGGATGGGAGAGGCTTGGGCTTGGATTTCGCAGAGGTGTAACCTTGTAGCGTTGGATGGAGAGATGGAGATTCGTATTTTGAGGGAGATGGAATAGTCTTTGGCTTTGCCGGCAGGACGGGGGCTGGAGATTCTGTAGGAGCTCCAGCTCCTGCAGCTCGGGAGGGCCCCGGTCCGGCATTGGGATTGCGATTGAACGTGCCCGTATTATGCTGGTGAGTGACCGGTCGACTACTCGACGAAACCGCGCTCTCGACCCGCGATCTTCCATTCCCAACTACATTGCTTCGACTGGCGGGAACCCTCGGAGGGCCGGGCAAGGCCAAAATGTCCTCATCACTATCATCTCCGTCTCTCCGCATTGCGTCTCGCGAAATTTCCCCTCCAGCTCTTCCCGTCCCGTCCAGGGCTAGACCTCCATCCACAAACCGCATGAGCCACTTCATAGGCTCTATCGGGTACATCTTGACATGAGCCGGAGGTCCCCCTCTCCGACATCCCCCCCAATCATCTTTGAACCCGACAAAGTGCCCCGCTGTGAGGCAGCGGTTGATCCAGCACCGGTCAAGCATGACCTTGACTTGCCAAGCAAGCTCCCGGCCGGGCAAAGGTTCTTTCGGGATATTGATGTTGTGGTGGCGAAGGGAAGGAAGGCGTTCCGGATGTGAGTATCGTTCCAGGGTAGGGGTTTGGTGAGGTGATACGAGGAGGAGTTGGGTCGCAGGGCTGTCGGGGGTGGGAGATATGTGGCCGCCTTCTTTCTGTTTATGGTAGAGACGAACAATGATACCATAGGACACCTGTCAGCGACTGATCAAAGTACACAAGACGCAATGCTCGCGCGCCCGGCTTCACGACGCTGTCAAAGCAAAGCTCACTCACCCATATGACTTTGATAAGCCCATACAAATCTTCCAGAGATGGATCTATCCATACCGAGAGACCAACGCCAGTACGGGGATCGACAAAGATGCCGGTCCCCTCCAAAAGATATGAAGTGCCGCCTATAGGGTAGTAGACAGGCCACGGTGGGGTTTTCCGGGCATGTTGCGAGGACGGGTGTGTGCGCTCTGGTAGTGCAGGATGGTGTGGGTGGTTTTGCGGCGGGCGTATATTCTGCGGCTGTAGGAGGGGCGGGGCGGACATGGGGCAGTAGGCGATTATGGGATAATGAGATCAGCGGGTTGTGCTGTGTCCTGCGCTGCGGGGGCTGGGGGATGGAGGAATGCAAGGGGCCTAATCGATTCTTGGGGCCGAGTAAGAAATATAGCGGCAGGAGGCGGGGCGGCGGGGGGCGCTGGGGAGGATGTGGGCGGGCGCGAACTGAGGAAGGAATACAGCACAATGCGCGAACAGTGCGGCTGACGTCCTTCTTCCAGAATGCTTCCGTCCTGACGTGGCTTATCCATGTTGACTCAACGTTGATACTCCCCTGCTGCTGCTCTCACTGGCCTTAATCGTTTTACATTCGTACATATTTACTCCCGTCTAGTTGTACTGCGCATACAACGCAGTACTCGAAAACTTGGTACCCTGCCTGATGACCTTTTCCACCGCATCCAAAAAGTCCCTCTCGGTTGCCACCTTTCTCCTCGCCCTGATGGCAAACATACCCGCCTCTGTAGCCACCGCCTTGAGCTCGGCACCGGTAGCGTTGGGACACAGACGCGCAATGAGCTCGTATCGGATGTCGCGCTCGACAGACATGGATTTGCCGTGGATTCGAAGGATGTGGGTACGGCCTTCGTTGTCGGGGAGGGAGAATTCGACTTTACGGTCGAGACGTCCGGGACGAAGAAGGGCGGGATCGAGGGTGTCGGGTCTGGTCAATGTCAGCTGTGTTGAATGCAGAGGTATAATATCACATACCTGTTGGTGGCCATGATGACCTTGATGTTTCCTCTGGGGTCAAAGCCATCAAGCTGGTTGATCAACTCCAACATCGTCCTCTGCACCTCATTATCACCACCAGCACCGTCATCGAACCGCGCTCCTCCAACGGCATCAATCTCATCAAAGAAGATGATACACGCCTTCTTTGAGCGGGCCATCTCGAACAGTTCTCGGACCATACGGGCACCTTCACCAATGTACTTCTGCACAAGCTCGGAACCGATGACACGGATAAAAGTAGAGTCGGTTCGGTTAGCGACGG